GAGTGCTGGATTTCAAGGCTCTAAGCCAGCCTTGCAAAACACAAAGACATACTAAATATATTTCAGTGCTACATGAGACAATACAGTCCCTAGAAACTATATTGGTACAAAAATATTCATTGGAGCTACTCTAAATCACAGTGGTTTTCATGGTACTTCACAGAGAGAAAGCCAAGTATTAGTGAGAGCAAGCACAATTCAGAAATGAATCTTTCTTTACAAGTTCAGCAGAACATGTGTTTTGCACTTACACATTTCTTTTTCCTAGAAACAAACACAGGTAAAAAGAAAACACAGCAATGATAATTTTTGTTGATCTATGGCACCATGTATATTAAATAGAAGCAGATTTCAGTTGGTTCTTTTGGAGATTGTAGTCCTAAAGATACTTGAAAATTAGTCATTTCAGCTCAGGGCCTTCTACTGGTTTTTCAGCATTTACAGTTCTTAGAATATGATTCTATGTTACCTCATATAATCAACTAAAGTATGTTCATAAACAACTTAAAAAGTTTTTTGAAAGTTGGGTGTAGCAGACATATTGAGACGACATGCATTCACTTCATGGACTCCCTGTTCAATACAGGACCTTGTTTTAAGGCAAGCAGTTTGATTCTGGAACAAGCTTCAAACAGATGGAAAGCAACACGATGGGAAAAAAAGATGAAGGACTGCACACTGTGCAATTTTTGTTGGCAAGTGTCACTTCACTATCATGAAGGGGCTATGGCAGCTAACAGCAATACTTCAGAAAGGCAAAGCTAAGGATTATTTTGTATTACGTAATCCAGAAGTGGGGTTGGAAAAAAAAAAAAACCAACAAAAAAAAACCAAAAAAAGAGAAATGGCCTTGGAAAACAAGAGCCTCTAAAAAAAATGAGGCTTCTTCTCTGCCTTTAGCTTTTTAAACTTTTATCCTTTTTTATTAGAGTGGATTTAGTGGGCCCTTGCAAACCTCGTGAAGTTCAACAAAGCCAAGTTCAAGGTCCTACATATGAGTCAGGCATTCCCAAGCAGTGATTTTATCTATATTAACTTGTATATGTCTTGTTACCTCAGAGATTATGAACATCAGATATTTTAGAGATTTCCTTTGTCCATGATTAATCTCATAAAATAGCATTGCTTGTTACACTTACAGGGAAAAAAAAAGGCCTTTCCATCAAAGCCAACAGCATGATCAGAAAACAAAAATCAGTGGTCTACTAACACAGTGCTAGAGGTGCAAGGTGGCCAGTCATGACTGAAGAGCAAATAAACCTTCTGGTCCTTTTGTATGAGGCAGTAACCTTTTGAGGCAGAGTAGGGGAACAGATGGAAGCAAGGTCCCTTCAGTTCCTGGTGTCTAAACCAAACAGGGTTTGCAAAAACAGACTTTCAGTCCAGTGGCCAGCCCTAGTCACTGTGATTATACTCACATTAGTAAATTAAACAAGTCTGGGATCAGTCTCTGCCCCTGAGGCCAGCTGGCACAGGGCATCCAATGTCCAGTCTATGAAAGCTTCAGAAAGTCCATGAAAGCACAGTCTGCCTATTTGTAATGTATCCCCTAACCCACACCCTGGAATATTTTGGGATACTGTTCATTGGCTCACGCTAAAACCATGTAAGGATTATGAGAATTCATGTAAGGATTACGAGAATCAGTAGAAACAGCTGAGTTTGGTGTTCAGGAGCATCCCTGACACTGTTCAATTTGCTGGTATCGGCAGAGCTTTAAAGAGTCTGTACAATTTCCACACTTTGATCGGTGCCAATGCCCTCACCAAGTCCTCGTGGCAAGAGCCCTCACAGGCAGTGGCATTTCTTGCCCTGAAATCAAAGGCTCCCAGGTGTATTGTCTAAGAGCTCAGACTCCTATGCACTGAGCTGCTGTGATCCCTGGCTCTTCCCTACTGCCCATGCACCTGGATCCCTCTCTGCACACCAGAGCTGCCCTCTGGTGCAAATCCTGCCTGTGGCATCCAACTGCTGTGAAATGTAGCCAGAAAGGGGAAATGTCCCAAACCTCCACAGCTGCTTGCTAAGAAAAGCTGTGTTGAAGCTGTGCCCGAGCTTGCCAGGGCCTGCTCAACAAGGATTTTCTGTTTGGAGGCACTATGACTACTTTTACTTTCTGTATTTCCAATGCACCTTTAAATGTCAGACTAATTTTGGGGGAAACCAGCTGAACCACAACAGAGAGAACAGGGCACACAGATTCCCTTCTATATTGTTACCTGAACTACAGATTCAGCTCCTCCGCAATTATTCATTAACATTAATGTGGATGGAAGCATTTTCCAGCATGATAATGCCCAATTTTACCCCTGCAAAACCCATCCAAGAATTCTTGGCATGTTGATACCCTCCATGTGACTCAGCCTGCCATAGATAAAGGAAGTAGATAAGGGAATTTTAGGAAGGAAAGGGGCTGAAACCATACACACGGCTAAGAGCAGTTAACTGCATACAGAAAAAGCAGGAAATGCAAGGGCTTGGGCAAAGAAGGAAAGTAGGAATACAAACAAATAGGAAGGAAAATACAAAGACTGATTTGCGTGGAAGAGAACATGGGAGAAAAGGATGTGGAGGGATTCTGAAATGAGGAGAAAAGAAAATGGGACAAATCAGACAAAAGGGAAATTATATATGTCCTGGTATAGAGCAGGCAGGACTGTGAGGGAATCCTGTTCAGGCAGAAGAGAGCATACATAAGGACAACCTGGAATGAGACAGAGCCACCAAAGCCACCAAGAAGAAACTGATGAGCCTAACTAATTCAGTACCAAAAAACTCTCTGTTGTAAAGTGAATTTTAAGAGACATTTCAGGCTTGAACACTCATTTTTACAAATTACAAAATTAAGGGCTTGAACTTACACATAAGAGATCTACTATTCTCATCTCCTTGTGGCAAAATACAAAATATAGCTCCTACAGGAGCACACCAAAAGCAATTGTTTGGAATGACACTACCCTCTGGTGGTCAAAAAATATAGTTATACGGACACCAGGGAGTAAAATATTCACAGCTGGCTGTACAGATAACTAAAAGATACAATCAATTCCAATCCACGCTCCAGTAATCCACCTCGAGACCGTGCTGTTAAATCAAACATCTTATTAGTTTGTTTAAAAATGACAAATTCGTGACTAGTCATGCGCACAAATAACTGTCCAGGGCTTTGAAAGAGACCAGGTTTTTTTTCTTCCACATCACATCTACAGAACATCATTGCTGGGAAAAGCAATTGTATCAATGCATAGTTTTAATGGAGGTGTTTTGAGATTTATGTAATGATTTAACACAGTCATGTCTCCTGCCTTGCCTCACTCAGGTTTTTTGACATCTAATCCTGTACAAACAGTAAAAGCCAAATACTACCTGCTCTGTCATTTTCTCCTTTCCTCTCTTTATATCATCACTGTTCAACTGCTGTGTTTCTCCTCTCCTGTTAAAAACAACCATATTTCTCAAGGCCAAATGCACCTTCCAAATACTCTTTTATCACCAGACTTCTCAAGCCCAGATGTCTCAATGGTCCTACATTTCTGGAAATGAGGAAGATCTTGTCATGTCACTCCCTCCTAGAGAAACAATTCTGTACATTTCAACTTTGATCTTTTTGGTAGGTTGACCTTCAACTGAAAGCTGGCTGTTGTTGCTTGGAAGTAATAGATTTGTGTATTGCCTCCTTGCGGACCTTGATCGGACAAAAGTCATTCTTGCGAGGTCTGATTCATTGTCATCGATGCCACCTTGTGGCGAAACTACTGGATATTGGAATTCTGGAAAAACGTTCAGCATTTGCCCCTCCTTGCAGGTGCATTGAATAGCAGCACAGTGGTTACTGCTGCTTGCAGCGCTTCAGTTTTAGAGTTCATAAAACCAGTATTTGGACACTCCTAAAAACACATCACCAGTCTGTAAAAGAGAGGAGGAAAAGCAGGAAGAAGCACCACAAAATATATTTATTTTTGCTTTATTAGGGTGAAAACTAAATCAGTATAACCAATGACACATGGCACAACCACTCGTGTGCTCAGAGCTTGGGCATTTTTTTATCTTTTCCCACCAGAAAAACAATCTGGCAAGAGATACAACCCATTCCAAATACTGTAAAATAGCACTGCAGGGAGAGACTGAAGGAAAACTCAGTCCCAGCCTAACAGGACAGGAAGCTTTTCCCAGTTACCTCACGCTGGACTCACCCTTCTCAGGTACCAGGCCCAAAGAATTATCCTAAAGGAGTCCATGCCTATTTTTTCAGGATGGTCCTGCTATGAATGCCAACATTACCACATTCAGCAGAATGAGGCTGATGCCTATTTTTAGCATTGCTTCCACTAGAGAAGCCCGAGAATCAGCACCTGCTTCCTCCGGGCGCTCTGTCAAACACCCTTCTCCCAGCAAGCAAGTGGGAGGAAGAGGCTGAATCAATCTGTGCACCTCCTTTTTCTACCACTAGGTTCCCAAAAATACAGGAAAGAAACCCCTCTCATTGCAAAATGTGGTAAATGTAAAAATTTTCCTCAGTGTTTGATCTTTGTATATTTCAAGCCTGATCAAAAAGAAAGGAGGTTTTATCCATGAAACAGGGCAGCCAGCAAGCTCTAAGTGATGTCCGGGTGTTAGAAACACAAAATAATTGTCAGTAGAATTACCTTGTAACGGTTTAGAGCTTAACATGTTTCCACGATCTCAAACCTAGGGAGAGCTTGGGAAGAAGGATGCACTGCTGATAGTAGACACAGCACAGAATTTACGGGCCACAAGGACATTTAGCAGAACTCACAAGATAAGGAAGAAACTAATAAAGACAACACAGCAACTGTGCTGAATCAGCTCCAACTGGGTAAAAGGTAATTCTGGCAGGGTGAGATCCCGACCACCAGCTCAGACACCCCTGACCCAAGAAACACACCGACTCAAAAAAGAGAAACACTGAGCATGCAGACTAATTAGCATGAAAAGTGAGAGAATCATTAACCAATAGAAGATAGCGTACTAATGCCCGCCGGAGGGGGCGGCGCGGCCGAGCCCGTGCCCGGCTCGGCGCTGGCGCTGGAGCCGCTCCGCAGCCACGGACACACCGCAGCGCCGATCCCGCCGGGGAAATCGGCTCCCGTCCCGTTCCCCCGCGGCTGGGAGCCGAGGCCCTCCCTCCGTTCCCGGTCCTCCGGCAGGCTGAGGGGACGGGGAGCCCGGTCCGTCCCGCGGCGGAAGGGCTGAGGGGGCAGCAGAGCCCCCTTGCCCCCGCTTCCCTCCTCGTGCTTTTCCACCGCAGGGAGAGAGCTTCCCTGTCCTAACCCGTGCCCTGCAGGAAGCGGGATCCCCCTGCCCTCACCCCTGCCCTTTGCTCCGCCGAGCGGAGGGTGTCAGGCTCCTGGCAGGTGCCGACAGAAGCTGGTTCCTACCTCCAGGGGAAAGCGGGGGCATTTTCCCTCCCTCTCCTGCCTTCTTTCTCCCCGCAGGTGGTGGGGCTGGACCTTCCGCGAGCCCTCGGGCCTGTGCAGCTGCGGGCATGGCTGTCCGTGGGGTCGGGAGCTCCCTGCTGCTGATGTCCGGCGTGGTGGTGGCCGTGGGGCTGTGCCGGAGGCTGGCCCGGCGCCGGCTGCGCTCCCGCCCGCTCCTCTTCGCTTTCCTTGTGGAGATGTTCAGCACCTTCCAGATCTGCGCCTGCACGAACGAGCTCAGCCTGCTCGGCAACGTGGAGCCGAAGCCGCACACCGCCCTCACCCTCACCTACGGCTTCACCGTCCTGCACGGCCTGAGCCTGGCCGGCAGCACATGCAATCCCTGCGGGACCCTGCAGCCCATGTGGGGCGGCGGGACATCGCTCACCATGGGGGGACTCAAGATCGCCGCTCAGTTCGTGGCTGCAGTGCTCGCCAGAGTGTTCATGCACTTTATCTGGAGTCTGGAGATGGCAGAGCCACATCTTGGAGCACTCTCACAGGGCTGCAGCGGCCCCATGCAGACTACAGAGATGCAGGCGTTCTGCATAGAACTGCTCTTTTCTGTCGTTTTCCAGCTGGCCGTCCTGCAAGCCGAAAGCGTTAACCCCAAGTACAGAGTCCATTTAATTGCTCTTCTCATCACCATGCTCGTGTATGCAGGTTAGTCTTTTTACTTTTTCTTCTTCTGTTCCTGCAATAAAGTTGTAACAGAAGGGGTTCTTACTGTTTGCTTAGAAGTGTTAAGATGCAAAATGCTTTTTCTTAAATTACACTTTCCTTGATGAGTTCTCTTTGTATTGTCCTACGTATGCAAAGTTCATTTAGCGTTTACATAAAGTTTGCCTGGTTGCATTCCAGGCAGGTATGGGGTTAAGAATGAAATGAGTTATGCAGTTAAAGTGATGTCAGGTCTGCAAGTACATATGGTTAAGTGTTAAAATATCTCAGTGAAGGATTGTTTCATAATCCAACTATTTATACAGCGTGAGAGATTTCATACTATGTGCTCTGATTACAAAGTGACATTGGGAGAGCACCGCTGGCTGCATCAGGAGAAAGTGCTGATTGTGCAACAGCAGCCCACAGACTGGTAGGTAATATGGAAGCTCTGCATTTAAATAATGCATAATTCATATCAGTGCAGTTTATTTAACTACTTCCTTAAATCAGAAGTGGGAATGGTTATTTGCGGAATGCATACAAAAATAATACCTCATGAGACCAAATGCAAAAAAGGGGAGCATGCAGACTAATTAGCATGAAAAGTGAGAGAATCATTAACCAATAGAAGATAGCGTACTAATCAATAAGAGAATTATGCAGCTTGTAGTCGGTGAACAAATCTCCTGAGGAGTGGCTGGAAGTGCTTAGTCTGGAGAAGAGGAGGTTCAGGAGGGACCTTATCTCTCTACAGCTCCCTGAAAGAAATCCGTCGCCAGGTGGGTGTCGGTCTCTTCTTGTGACCTCTTCAAGTGAGAGGATGAGAGAGCACAGGCTTTAGCTGTGTCAAGGGAAGTTTAGGCTGGACATTAAGAAGCATTTCTTCACGGAAGGGGTAATTAGACATTGGAATGGGCTGCTCAGGGAGGTGGGGGAGTCACTGCTCCTGGACGTGTTCAAGCACAGACTGGATGTGGCACTCAGTGCCATCATCTACTGTCATGGTGGTGTTGGGTCACAGGCTGGACTTCAGGTCATGTTAAGAGGTCTTTTCTAACCCAATTGTTTCTGTGATTCAACAATTCCTGTGTGTGCTACAATGTACAAATAGCAAAAAAAAAGTTCTGACAGTCGGCGTGCTCCTTTTGCTGAACAACACCGAGCACGCAGGCTTGCGCAACTCTAAACAAATAACCAAAGTCTCACTCTCGAGCTCGCTGCAAACCGCGGGGCGGGGGATGTGATCCCCGGGGACAGCCGGGGCCGTGTCCGGTGCCGGTGCCGCCGCGGCCCCGGCCCCGCCGAGCTCCCCCTGCCCGGAAAAAAAAAGGTGCCTGATTTATAGAGCCTCCCTTGTCTCTAATGCCATGTGTGTCCATATCCCTGCCTGTGTGTCCATATCCCTGACTTTTGCTACCTGATTGTCACTTCGTGCTTCCCAGAGCTGAGACGCTGTCACCTGTGCATCCCCTCTGGACCAATGGGAAGGGAGAGGTGAGGGGAGTCAGTCTGAACTTCTTTCTTCTGACTGTTGAGGTTCTCTCTTGTCCCCACGGAAGTGACAAGAGTTGTTAGGTCACTTGAAGACTGCCCTCCTGGGAGTCCTTTTCCTACTGGCAAGGAGATTGTGTAGCTTGGAGAAGTGAAAGAGATGATCACAGAACTCTTGCTGTTGCTGCTGCCCCCACCACAGAAAAAGTCATCTAGGGAATCACCAAATCCCTTTGAGAGAGGGAGAACACTTCTCTTACCTGCAAACATCTGGGATGTCATTTATGCCTTGTCCTAAAGGCTCAGCTGTATTAATGCTATTTAACATAATAGCATCTAGAACAGTGTACAGTCACATTTTTAGATGTAGTAATGTAAAAATCTTTAGCTGAGATTAGCTAATACCTAAAAGATAAAAGTCATTGGGGAATTTTGAAAATTAACTTAGGAATTTGAACTACTTTCTAAAAGCAGAAGCAAGGTGCCAGTGCATTTGAGGACATTAAATCTATTTCTGAGTTGCTTGGTGGAAGTGTAGCCAAATATCCTCCTCCCTCTTCTACAAGCACAGAAATCTGGATTCCTGATTCCTAACATTCTTCTCCTGCTTAGCACAGAGTCATATAAAATAATACATGTCACACTGTGTTTCTTTTAGCTAATTCATGCAAAGAATTCACTCCCAGTGTCATTGGCCAGGTTCCTATCTTTTCCTAGCAGGAGAAGGCTAAGTGTGCCACGTGAAGGCTGAGTGTTCCAAGTGCCCTTCTGTGCCATAAACCTGGGCTTGTTGGGACTCCCCGGTGCAATCGATCTGCACAAGCTTCTAGGAAACCTCAGGCCTCTTCTGCATCGTGTGCACAACACCCTGTGCTACCTGGTCATTTTTCTTTGCATTTCTTTCAAACTACAATCTGCTTGTCTACTATAAAAATATACAGGTGCTCAGATCCTGTCGTGGCTGGGGCGGTAATGAGGAGCCTGGAAAGTGGCCATGGACGATGCCTGCTGCACACATCCCGTATGTCCTGTGGATGTCATGGCATAGCCCTAGCCACGTCTGTCCCACCTCTGCTGCTTACACGCAGTAGGGAGAGTCACTCACAAATCAGGTGTCACAAATAGTGGCCTCCAGCAGGGTGGGTTCTCGTCTGCAGGCTGTGAAGACAGGCAGATGCATAATTTAGCTGGGCTGGATCATTCTCAGGAAATCTTCTGCACCTCTTCGTTTACTGTTTATAGGTCTGCCAGGCACCCTACTCCAACAAATAACATCAGGTTGTACAGTATTTTCAAAATCACAAGCTGTTACTTTAGTTTTTCTTATACTTTTTCCTATTTAAAAAAATTTTTTTTTTTACATTTAATCCTACACAATCCAAATTTTTATAGTAGTACATACTGTACATAGAAGCTCCAATACTGCTTCACTCTTTTTTCTACTAAATAAAGACCAAAAAGAGAACATTATGTCTTTACATATTACCCTTACTAATGATTCATTAGCTAAGGATCCAGACCATATACAAGATGGTAAAGAATATTTCTGTATAACTCCTTTGGGAAAGTACTTACTCAGGGGTTAAAAAAATACACCTTTTGAGGGCTTTTTCATTTACAGGCAGCATTACAGTTAGGTCAGAATCATATGAAATTGGTTAGATTTTTCTGAACCTAACATATCAAGGTACAAATGACATACATATTTTTAATTCTGAGTTTCTTCCCAATTTTGGCCTTTAATAAAGGCAAAAAGGTAAAAATACTTTCTCATGCACTGTGTGGCATTACTTCCCCCTTTAAAGTTTTTATGCACACCCCATCAAAGTGATTACATTTCTTCTGCCATAAAATAATTTGTCTTTTCTGTTACACAGACTGAGGTGCTAAATGAATAATTTTAAGTAAGATTATAGTGGTTGATATTCCAGTAGTTATTAGTAATGAATATTGAAGAAATACAGCAGTTAAAACTCTGTCTAATGCTTAATGTGCATCAGCTGCATCCTGAGAGTGAAATTCTGCTTTCAACTGTATGTTTGTGAATATAACAGCAGAAGCAGTGGAGTCATAAACAGATTAAAGCAAAGTAAATTACTGTAGCTGGGCTTCCTGGCAACCATGGACATTGCTAACATGTCAGTGTGCAGAAAAACAGACTGCACAGTAAATCTGACTTGTTCTTGAGAACAAGTACAAAACCACAGTAAACTGAGTTGGCAAACAAAGATTAAAATTTTCCTTAATTGTAATAATAGTGAAAGAAATAATAAAGAGAATATGGAAAGAGAAATGAAGAAGAAGAGAATGACAAAGACCTTACTAAAACTTTGGATAAATGACTGCAGAGTCATAGCAAATGAGGATTACAGCAGCAGGGTATTTGTACAAAGGATAAGTTCAAAGCTCATACAAGCTTATCTGGGGAGAAGTCAAGAGTAAACTGTAAGGAATTATACAGATGCAATTACAGAATATTTTATGGTAATAGGTTAACAGATAAAACAGGTATGGGGTGGTTAGTAGCTAACAGTACAGGAATACAGGTAATTTAGCTATGAGCAATGCTTTTTCTGCAGAATTGCAATGAGAGGAACAACATATGTCAGAATTAAACACACTTAGCTCCAGGTGCACCTGCAGTGTAATTACAGTTTAGTCCCCAGTGTAATGTGTTTGGATCTTGTTATTTAGAAAATGTTTAGGCAAACTTCATTTGCATCTGAAATCAGAGGCAAGGAAAGATGCTTGACTTCCTTCTACAAGACAGTGGAGTGGCACTTGCTTCTATTTTCTTTAAACAACATACGGAGTTTTCCCACAGTTCATATACCATGTGAAAATCCTAACATTCTGTACATTGGTATAATAATATTAGTGTTCTTGTAAGAAAGTATAGAGGTCAGCTTAGCAAGAACACTACTTGACAGTTTTTTCTTTTATCTTGCATGTGTGTTTCATGTGACACGAGGCTATAATGTAATGGCTTATGTAATTTCTGTCTCCTCTAAAATCATGATACAGAAATAGCTTCTAGTTTTATCAATAGAAACATTCAGCATTAGCCAGACCTATCTCTTTAAAGAATATTTGCTAGAAAGAGATAAAGGAAGTTACAGCTTTCCCTTCCCATGTTTTAAAGCCTTTGAGAAAACAGTTAAACTGTTTACTGAGTCATCAGGTGAAGAGCTTAAGGAGAGTCTTACCTGTTCAAACTAATGCTAATTCATTTTATTGCAGGGTGTAGATTTCTTATAGTATGGTGCATTTGAATTTAAAGTAAATATTTAAAAACATGGTCTAATTTCATGCTGTTTACATCTTATTGCAGGTGGAAATCTCACAGGAGCAATATTTAACCCAGCACTGGCGTTTTCATTACATGCAGATTGTTTCTATGACAAATTTTTGAGTTACTCTCTAGTATATTGGCTAGCACCATGCTTAGGTAAGTTCTTAATACTTTTCGTGTTTGAGAAAGTGTTATTTAATACATGGTTCATAAACAAGAAATAAGTGTTCTTTATTTGAGATTGTTTGACTTTTGCATTAAATAAATCCAGAAAATAGTAAATTATAATGTATATGTTGAAATAATTCAGAATCGTGGTTTCATTTTGCAAATGCAGGCTGTGTATTTTTAACATTTTTTAATGCTCCATGTAGAGTGCCTGCAGCACTGTTTAGTGAATTATAGAATTATTCGGATTGGGAAGGACCTTTAAAGATCATGTGGTCCTTAGCTGAAAGTAAATATCAGCCTGATTACCTTCAAAAAGAGAAACATACTGGTTACCACAGTGTCTGTCTTGTTTTGTGACAGTTTACAAAAACATAGGGATGATAAATTAAAAAAAACAAACAAACAAAAAAAAAAAAACTACCCACAAGTATTGGGACAAGTGCCTTAAATATGCTTTCTCAATTACCACTTTTTTATCCCCATAGTGTCTAAACTTTGCAGTTCTCATTCTGTGTTTTTCCCCTAGTCACTGTTGGACACTGTCTGCTCTTAGTTTAAGAAGTGTTAGCAACTAGGTTTTTCCTAACTTAAATTATGGTTTTAATTTGGAAGCTATTGGTTTTGACTTCTCGGTGTGTACAGATGAAAATGGTCCATGTGATACTTCATGCTGTTGTTTATTTGCAGTTGGTCCCTACAAATCTTGAGCTTTCTGCTTAGGGTATATAAAGAGGCAGGCTGCTAATCCTGGTTCTTTCATGACTGTTAATCCTATTAGAAGGTACAACAGTGATGAAGGCAGAACAGCATGTAAGATATACACAAGAAACAGTGGAAAGGGATCCTGTTATGACCAAAAACTCCTTTTTCTTCAGTTCATGTCTGTGCATGTTCTACTTGCCTTGACTCTCAGTCAGCCAAAAACAAAGAAGTTTAAAGCTAACTAAAATTCACTTTAACACAATCTTGTTGAATTAGATCTCTAAACAGGATGACTGAACAATAGAGTAAGCTTGATAACTGTTCAGTGAATAATTAATGAAATGTCATGGGCAAAGCTGATCAGATTTGCTGGGGTCCTGACAGACCACATATTTCTCACAATTCAGCTTTAGCTTTCATTAACTGATTTCAGCCTCATAACATTTAAAGATCTTCCAGGTTGTAAGTATATGAGATTTAACCTTTTGGCAAGTGATTTAAAGAAAGAGGAGACATTCTGAAACCCCATGTTCTACATACATACCAAGATGTGGCCTGCAGAATAGCTTTGCAGCAAACCTCCAGGTGATTTTTTATGTAAGAAAATCAACAGTTGTTAAGTGAAATGGACCCATGGCTTGAGAAACTTAGAATGTGGTTTTGGATCAATGTTACCTTTCTGTGAAAATTCATAAAAAGTGGTTTCTCATTAGCTGACATCTAGAATATACACACAGAATACATTGAATGCTGTCTCTTGATTTATGAGGGAAAGGAACTCCTCCAGACTGAGCAGTTGTAAAGATGTGAATACTCAGGACACATCACTCTTGCACAGTGTCACTACTGTAGCCAACATTTAGTGGCAAATCTCAGGTCTGTGGATCACCTGAAGGACTGAGTAATCTATTGGTGCCAAAATATCTCATTACAGAATAAGGATGTTTCATGGATACATTTAAGAGACCTTATAACTCAAGAGTTCAAAACAAATGTACTGTCTGAGGTACAAGTGTAGAGGAGACTGCTGTATTTGAAAACTGACTTGATGAATACAGGAGTGCAAATCTACAAATTTTAACATGAAGTGAATTTTTTCTGACACTTTTTGAAAATAAGAAGATAATAGGAATAGAATTTTTCCTGTCATGATTGGACAAAATGATGAGGTGTCTAGGAAAATGAACTGTTATGATGATGAATTATTGTAGAAAGAACCTCTAAACAGAATAATGAAAGTAGATGATGAGGGAAGGGATATTTTAAATTCAATTGTAAAAATTACTTTCAGAATCCGTATGTCAGCAGAAATGCTGTTTCAGACTTCCTAGAAACTGGCAGAGTCACAATGTTAGGCTAATCTGATGTCTTACTTCTTCCAGCATCAGCCTCTCAGCTGGTTAAATTACTTTGTTCTTACTTTGGGAAACTCTTTCAGAAGGGTTTTTTTGTGTTTTTCTGTAATAACTACCTCACAGTAGTACCTTGGACTAACATATCATGAAACTTAAAATAGCCAGTGGAAAGTGCAATATATTCTCATTTATGGCTGTGGCAAAAATCCATGAGGGCAAGGATATGGAGAGCGTTCAAAATACAACTGAATACTGATCTGGCTGTAAGCACATCATAAACAATGTTCTTAGAAAGGACACTTGGAAAAAGAGCAAGATTGATTATCACTTTCACAAGACAAGGATGAAATGGAAGTTTTCTTTTAGGATAAAAAAAATCTACTGGTGGTTTATGGTCTTTCAGGAATTTAATCTTGAAACTGTAGTTAATTACTCGTTTTTCAAAATGGCTTCACCGATGTTCTGGTGAAGGTGATTCTCCAGCAGCATTAAAATCTGGATTCCTGCAATAAGCACAGATGCCAGCAAGTGTTAATAACTTAGCACAGACAGGCCAAAGTTCTGCACTGTGAACATAGACTCAGTAAGTACCAGTGGAACAAAGATGGTTTCTGTTTTACTGCCAGAGGAATTCATGTTAGTTGTCCAGGCATGATTATACCATCAGTAATGATGGGGGACTGAGCTAATGCTGCTCTTTCAGTAGCAGGGAGATGGCAGCTATGAATGGAAGAGTTGGTGACAAGAGGTCAATAAAATGAAATGCTCTTTCCTGGACAGGTGCCAGCTTAGCATATCATGGAATTGCATTGTAGAGTGAGGGACATTAAAGACCATCCAGTTCCAACCCCCCTGCTAGGGGCAGGGACACCTTCCACTGGACCAAGATCTCAAAGTCATCCAGCCTGGCCTAGCCTCCTGCTACGTTTCTAACACTATAAAACCAGAATCAAGGCCCCCTTCTTTAGATCAGTTTTACCAGAAAAACTAATACTATTCCTTAGAAAATAAGTGCCAGAACAGTCACTTAGCAGTACATGTAAATGGAGGAGGTAAGCAAGGGAGAAGGCAACAGGTGAGACTTTGACCTTTCTGCTCAGAGGAGAGGTTATTCTGAGGCTGCCAGCAAGTTCAGAACACTTAAGCAAAGAAACAAGAATTCTATGTCCATGTGCAGTGAAGTGTTCAGTATTTCAGGGACTTGGAAGCAAAGGAGGTTTTCAACAACAACTGGAAAACAAACTACTCCTATTTCCAGGCCCTGGTCCTCATAGGGGTTTTCAGCTCCATAGACATCATCTGACAGAGCAGAAACTCTTATGCAGTGAGTGGATGCAATCCCTGAAGTTCCTAGAAACTGACAGTAATTATGTGTAATTCAAATCCTAAAGGGCCAGTGAGTGGTAATGCTGAACTTGACGTACCTACAGAGAAGAATGGGTCCTGAATGTGGCTTGTTGGGTTGTAGTCCTCCCAAGAGTTCAGGGTGCAGAGGAAGACTGGGAAGGTAAATAGCAGAGCTGTCCAGACTTTGGACTTCAAAACAAAAGTCTGCTTATTTAGGAATTGCTAAGTCAGTAGTAATTCCCTTGGAAACTGCTATAAATGGGAAAAGGTGATTTTTAGAAAAGGCTCATGAGAGCTCAGTAATAGATTTAGATGTGCAGAAGGAATCTGTCACATAGTGTTAAACTGGGAATTTGTATAAAAAGCCTTTCCCTGCTGGCTAGAGAAAGAGATTCCCTACAATAAAGGAGAACATGTAAGAGGTTGAAACTGGGAAAGGCAGAAAAGGAGTGTAAGACCTTTGCACAACTTGGAAACAAAGACAGGAAGGTTAGAGCTCAACTGGAACTAAGAGAAGGGATATGCAGAGTTACAAATACACTAATCACAAAAAAAAAAAAAGTCCAGAGAAAATGCAGGTCCATTGGTGCATGGGGGAGACAACTTAGTTGTCGGTGGCATGGAACAGGCTGAGGTACCACTCAGCCTTCCCAATCAAAATTTGCTCCCAAACCTCTGTGTAAATCAGTAAGGTTTTGGAAAGGGAACAATAAATAGGAACAGCATATGTGATTGTGAATCCATTGACTCTAGTGGGATTCACCAAGAAATGAAGGTAGAGTTGGCCAATGCTGGAATTTAATTTATGAGAAGTTAGAGCAGTTGGAGGAGGTTCCTGCCAATGGGAAATGTTCTAATACTATGCCTGCTTTTAAGAAGGAGAGGGAAGCCAGGGAGCTATAAACTAGTTGGTATCACTTCAGCCAGTAGGAAAATGGTGGAGTATCTAGTCTTGGAATGCATTTCCAACCATATAGACAACACAAACACAATCAGCACAGACTTAATGAGGGTAATCCACGCTTGACCAGCTTGGTGGCCTTCTGTGATGAGTGTGTTGGGAATGACAAAGGAGCAGGGATGTAGCGTACCTTCACTTCAGTAAGGTTTTCAATACCACCTCCCACAGTGTTCTTGGTTCAAAGTGGGGTCACACAAAAAGACTGTTAGATGGAATAAAGATTGGCTAAACCACCGACCTCAAACTGTCACAAGCAATGGGTTGACACGGGCCGGTGGCCAATACCATGCAGAGATGCTGGTGTCAGTACTGGGAGCTCATACTCCCCAGTATGTTTAACAGTGACCTGAACTGAAGTTTGGCCACAACAGTTTGGTGTCTCTCCAAGACAAAGCAAATTATTTGATTCAGTAGTTTGGGATCAGCACTTCTGCAGAGGGATCTCCACAGGCTGCAGAGGTGGGCTGAGACCAACAACATGAGATGCAACAAGACCAAGTGCTGGGTCCTGTGCTTTGGCCACAACAACCCCATGCAGGGCTACAGGCTTTGGTCGGAGTGGTTGGAAAGTGGCCCAGCAGAAAGGGATCTGGGGGTGCTGGTTGACAGCAGCTGAATATGAGCCAGTGTGTGTGCCCAGGTGGCCACGAGGGTCAGTGGCACCTGGCCTGTATCAACAATAGTGTGGCCACCAGGACCAGCAAAATGACTGTCCCCCTGTACTCAAGCACTGGTGAGGCCATACCTCAAGTCCTGTGTCCAGTTCTGGGCCCCTCAGTTCAGGAAGGACATTGAGGTGCTAGAGCGGGTCCTGAGAAGGGCAAGAGAGCTGGTGAAGGGTCTGCAGCACAAGTCCTGCGAGGAGTGGCTGGGGGAGCTGGGGTTGTTTAGCCTGGAGAAAGAAGAGGCTCAGGGAGGCTCTATCACTCTCCACACATACCTGAAAGGAGGCTGCAGCTGGGAAAGGGGAGGTGTCAGTCTCTTCTCCCAGGCAACCAGTGATGGGATGAGACGACATAAGTTGAGCCAGGGGAGGTTTAGGTTGGACATTAGGAAGAATTTCTTCACTGAAAGCGGGATTAGATATTGGAAAGATCTGCCCAGTGAGGTGGTGGAGTCACCGTTCCTGGAGGGGTTTAAGGGAAGACTGGATGTGGCACTCAGTGCCATGGTCTGTTGCCATGGTGGTGTTCGGTCACAGGTTGGACTCTGTGGTCTCACAGAGCTTTTCCAAAGAAATTGATTCTGTGATTACTGCCTCCTTCTACACAATGCCTGTGAGGTGACATCTGGAACAGGGGTGGTTTGGAGTCCCCCAGTTCAAGAGCAAATGTGTCAAAAAACAGGATCCCGGCAGTGGAGGACCACAGAGACAATGAAGGGCCTAGAGTACCTGATCTAAGGGGGCAGGCTGAGGGAACCAGACTTGTATAGGCTGCAAAATTAAAATGGAAGCGTGTTTTAAGCACACTCAAGCATTATTTCAAGAGTAGTTACAAGGATAACAGAGATTAACCGTTCTTTTTAATAACAAGTAACAGCAAGGCCACAACTGGGGCATGGGAAGTTCAGCTTAGACTCCAGGAAAACATTCAGGGGGAAGGGTGCAGCAACACTGAAATTAGTTTCCTGGAGAAATGCTACAGTCTCCAGCATGGAGGTTTTTGGGACTCAGCCAGGGAAAGTCTAACTGACCCATCCAGCATAGGCAAAGTCCTGCACTGAGTGGCAGACTAAACAGAATCCCTTTTAATAAGCTTTTTTTGTGATCTGAGAAGTTTCATAAATACAAGTTTCATAAATACATATCAAAGCATTAACTATGTGTGGGCAACACCATCAAACAGGATCCTCTTTGTTTCTGAAAGAATAATCTGATTTTTTTTACTGTGGGAAATAAACTGTATCTGGATGGTCTTTGGACTCAGTGATCCCTGTGGGTCCCTAGCAACTTGAGGCAGAAGTTTCTTTATGAGAATCATACACTACCTCTAATTATCATTTTTTCAGCTTCAGAATAAACCCTAAATCAGAATGATGTTCAAAAAAACACCCACTATCCCATATCCACTTGGCAGCACTTAAAAACGATGTGGTTATCAAAACAGGCACAGCTAACAAACCCAGGTGAGGGATGGAGGTTAAGCTGCTGGTTCAGCCATTTATACATCCAGCCACAAAGAAAGCAGCCCTGATCAGGAAGGTGTTGGATTCACCCAGACAAACTCTCTGCCTTTGGCTTGGCTTACACAGATCAAAGCATTAACTATGAAAAACAAGATTATTATCTCACAGGGAGCACTTGCATGGCTGTTGAAGCTTCCTTTGCAAAAGGTACTGCTGTATTGTGTTAGAGACTCAAATACTCGAATGCAATGTTTATTTTCCATACCAGTAACGTGTCCTTCTCAAACGCATTCAAATAAAGGTCCTTTCTGTAACCTCTCATTTCAGGTACAATACTTGTGGTTTTTATATGGGATGAAATCTTTCCTCGGAAATCCCGACACATCAAATCCTGAAATTTGGGAGCACTACATTAAAAAATATTTCCAACATCTGCAGACATAAAGCTTTCAGAGAACTGTTGACAGACTTCCGTGCCATCTTTATGCTGTATTTTCAGATTTCATGTTTGAAATATTTGACTTACCACTTTGTATTAAAATAATTATTTTGTAAATGAGTATTGGGATTTTGGGAATATCTGCCACCATTTTCAGTTAAGCCATATGAATGTGAAGGACTGTTAAAACACAAATTTATCACTTTAGCCATAAGTGCCATTTGCTGACCTTTATTAGCATGCAAAACTAATTTTAGAGAAATACCCCGTCCTTTCAAGGTTTGATTTTATTGGATTTCTTCCCATTGAAGACACCTGCAGAAAGGGAGCTGAAGATTTCTTATACTGACATCATCATATTCCTACTTGCCATATACCTACCTCTGAGAGGAAAAAAGGCTACACTACTCCCTAGAAGAGTCTCCACAGCTCTGTTCTAGAGGCACCCTACACCAAAATTAAAGCCTGTATGACCAACATTCTTTTAATAATGATGATTTTAATACCTGAGTGTAGGTAAGTAACCCCTCAATTCCTTCCAGGAATGCTCTGTCACATCCTGTCCCAGTGGAGACTGTTGAATGTTTACCTTGGTTGGAAAAAAGCAGTAATAAAATACCATAAAATTCTGTAGACACACACACCAAATAGTATTTTAGGCAAAACCCTTGACTTTTTATCAGCAATTACTGCTGCCTCTTCACATAGACACAGTATATAGAGATGAATCATGCAGTACTCAATTTGTCCTTGATTTTATGTAGCTCTCACCAACTTCTTTTAAAAAACAAATGAATCTGCAGTGCAGGAGAATAAATAACAGAGATAAAAACTACAGGAAAGCTACATACACAAGTATGCCCTTTATGGCCTCAGCTGAGGCAAACTACCCTCTGAAGCTCTGTTCCTAGCACAAGGTTGCTGCTCCTGGCTGCAGCTTAATTTTTAAACATGACAAAATATATTTCTGAAATTTAAGAGTAAATTCAGTTTTTCTTTTGAAGTTTACTTGGTTTGAAAGGAGAGATGGTTAACAAATTCTACAAAGATCTCAGTATCATGTCCCTCACCTCATCATCCAAGTCACCTTACAAACTATATTTTAAGAGAAATCAGATGGGGAGTTTTTCACAGTAAACTGATGAAGTCTTTAACAGCTACTATTGTCACCTATCTTTTTTGCAAGAGTTTGGGAAGTAAATATTTCCATGTAATTTCTTCCTTGTTGCAATAAAATCTTTTCTTGTTTTATTTTTCCAAGGTACCTGTAAGATTGTATTACAAAATTAAATCAATTTTATGAACATGCTTTACATGCAAGAGTCCTCTCCATGACCCTGTATTCAGTTATTAATAATAAAAAAAATTAACCTGCTAATATGCTGAAGAGAACTAGAACTGCTGGGTTATCATTCAGCAGCTCTTCAACCAGTGTGAATATATCTACCAAAGGAAAATTGGCCTTGTTAAAACTCTCCATTAGCAAGGACCATACACCAGCACACTGACCCTGAAAATATGTGATCCTATGAAAAAATACATATTTTTATACCTTGTTCTGCTTCTAAAACAGATCCTTTTGGGGGTTTCTACTTTCCCTTTCTTACTTTACTGGTTTTTATCTCTTTTACCTCCTTTTAAAGTGATCCATACCTTATAACTTTGTCCCACCACTTTTTCACCTTGTTTCTTATGGAAACAAGTCTTTCAAAATCTACATTATTTGATGTCTTCTCTAAAGCCATGGAGCCTACAGGATAAAGGTCTCAAAAATAAACCTCAGAGCATAAAAATAGACAAAAGAGAAAACAGATATACAAACCTATAGGCAGCCAAGATTTGTTAGATTAGAGGGCCTACTTCCACTTCATTTTTGATGGTCTACAAAAGCAAAGTCCATAAAGTGAAGAGGTCAAATCAGATCTGACTTCTCCATATTTGCCTTGTTTATTTTGGCACAACATATAGTTTAAAAGAAATTAGTACAAATCTGGGTTATTAACAAGTAGTTGCTGTATTTACAGGCATTAGAATATAATTTTAAAAATCACTAGGAATTAGACAAGCCTTAAATTGACTAAATTAATGCAAAACAAAAGAAAAACAATAAAAGTAGCAGAAATAATGAAAAGGAAACCTAAGCTAGGAACTGAAGAATGTAACTGGTTTTGGTAGTGCAGGCAAAAAGGAGTGCTTTACATTTGAGCTAACGAATGCTTATGAAGTCCAGAACACTTACACACAAAAAGTTTTATTGAAAATAAAACTTGTCAATCCACACAAGGCACTTCTCAATGCTACCTTCAGCATTCATCCAGGTTTGTTTCCACCTCACCTCAATTAATCTTGCTCCATTGATTTGACTGGAAGCATTACAAGATGTCTGCTCCCGAGCTCCACATTAGTACAACACAAATTCTCCTGGATGTAGTGAGTGCTGAGAGGAGCTGTGACCAGTCCAGCTGCCCTGGAGTTAACTTTGCCCATCTGCCAGGGTATGCAACAGGCTGCCATTTAACAAGGAAAACAACAGACACACCACATTCCAACTCAGATTTTCACACACTAAAAAAACCCCCACCAGTCTGCTTCAACAGTGGATGGTGACTTAGAATTCAGTGAGCCCTTTGCCTCAGTTATGGTGTTGGTAAGAGTTTACCTGTCCCAAAATCTCACCATGCCAAGATTCAACAAATGCCAGTGCAAAAATCAACTCTGTATCCTCCTTTGTAACTCCGAATCCCTTACAGTGACATGCACACACTCACATGAATAAGTTTGTATGTATACAAAGGGGCTGGTAAAGACATTCCTGTAGAATGTCTTGTTGCATAACATGCTGAATACCTCATTTATTCAGCTACCTCAGTGGTTCACAGCACTGTTAGGACATCCATAATTTGACTGGCATTCCTAACGAATATTCAACAAAGAGTGGTTATAATTAGCATGTACCTTGGAACCAAATCACATCCTAACATGTAAGCAGAATGTAAGGCCAGTAAACTGTTCACATACCAACAGAGCAATACCTTACCCCCATCCCCCCAAAAGAAAACCACAGGTCAACTTCAAAGCAAAAGAAAATGGAGGAAGTTTGGTCCAGACTTTCATTTCAATACTGGGGGAAGAAAGAAACAACCCGAATTTGCTGATTTTTTCCAATGGCAAAATCACCACCCCATAGAGAGACGAAACAGGAAAAGCTCCAGCAGAACCAACAAACACCTTGGCAATCTAAAGCTGGGTTCCTAAGTTTGGAATGTGTCTGGTTAACATACTCTGAAAGTGCTGTGCCCTTTTATCCTCACATCCAGGTAAATGACGAAAATGGCTTTGGCTTCACTGAAGATTTTTTTGTTACAGAAGAGGGTTCTGAAACTCAAGGGCTCAAGATGCTTGCTGAAGTAAAGGAGGGAGAACTGCAACAGTGAGCTCATTGTGAGATACAAAAATCTTAGTTTATTTAACAATGTTAACATTTAATACAAAGACACAAAACAGTTCTCTTTGTCCCGACCTTACAGACTTTATTCCATGTCCTCTACCACCCAAGCTCAGCTCTCAGAGAAATGAAAGGGATAGCACTGAAATGGTAAAGCCAGTTACTTGAGGGGGTTTTAATTTAGTTTTTCTTTTGATCCTTGGCCAACCCTATTTCCTTTGAGTCATAACATTTCTATTCCCATTTCTACTTCACAAAGTCAATGACAGGTAAAAAAATATGGAAAATTCTAGGACCATCTAAAATTCTGTTCTACTTACAGTTTTATTTCTGAAGTCCTAGAATTCCTACAAAGGCTTCTTTAAAAGGCCAGAGAGTTTTGTCAGAGAGACTGTGGCTGCCCCATCCCTGGAAGTGTTCACAGCCAGGTTAGGATGGGGTCCTGAGCAACCTGATCTACTCAATGGCATCCACGCTCATGGCAGGTGGGGCTGGAACCAGATGATCTTTAATGTCTGTTCCAACCCAAATCATTTTGTAATTCTATGGAATGACCCCTGATTAGCCCCATTCAAGTGTTAGATGCAAGAGGTTTTACTGTTTTTGTTTATTTTGTTTTTTCTTAAACAACCCCATAGTGGTCACAAATGTCAAACCCTGTTTTAAACATCTCTACAAGCATTTTTAGACCTAGATGTCTAAACTTAGGTCATTAAAAGAAAGGTTAACTCCCGATAGTCACTGCAATGCCTTCGGTTTTACAGCTTATTCTGGAAGTGCCACAAGAGGAATCTGAAAGACACAAGACACCCAAGTTTACATAATTGGCATTAAAATAAAAGGTTATTAAGCATCACAGAGTAGTAGCTATCTGTTGGTTGCAGTCAGTTGCACTTTACTACAAGCCCATGAATTGTCAGAAGGGCTGAGCATCTTTGCCTTTGGCAGCAGCTCTAACTCAGGTCAGCTAAGGACAGCATGTGCTCACAGCAGGCACCGGGGTGCCCTGGCAGACCCCGCTGCACCCACACGCAGACACACCAGTTGCTTCAGAACAATTGCTGCAGCCTCGTGATGCCACAGACAAAACACCACTTATTGCAGGAACACTGGAAATGTCCTGCAACAACTGCCAGCAAGTCTTGCAGGGGCTTCAGCAGGAGACTGTCACATCTCATTTGGGTGGCATGCATCATGAGCATCACACAAGAGCATTGTTTGGGAGGCAGGGCAGCACACTGTTCTCTAAGGGATCACCAACAAGATGTTCCTGTAGATCATTCTGCAGTTCAGGAGGTAAAAAGGGCCAAGCTGCTCCATGGAGTACCCACAAGATCACAGCATGCTCCCTTTCCACCCCTACATACAGAGTGTGAGCCAAGCCACTCTCTGAGCAGGGTGATTAGCACAGACCTCCAAGAGCTGACCTGGTCACTTTCTACCTTCAGTTCCGTGCTGCTGCCTTAGATCCCAGATTCCTAAACTTCCTTAGATTACATCCACACACTCAGGCTGGTGGTTACTCTAAGAAGGGCCGTCCCAAACTGCTACCTGGAGTGATGTCACTGCAGCACCTGACTCTGC